GGGCGGCCCCCCCGGGCCTCCTGCCCGCACCCCTACGGCCCGAGCTGCGGGGAGGGCACCTCGCCGCCGCGGCCCCGGGCCCCGCAGCGGCGGAGCCGGCTTCCCACCGGAGCCCCCGGGCCCAGGCTGGCTCGTGCCATTGCTTTTGCTCTGGTCTGCAGCCCTCCGTGGCCCGGCTCCACAGCCGCAGGCCCCGTTGCGAGGCCGGCTCTGTCTTGCTTGGGCTCGAGCCGCGGAAGGGTTAATCTCAGTCGGGGCTGGAGTAAAAATGAAGCCTAACGAGTTCGGGGATGAAGCCGAGCCAGCGGCGGGCAGAGCGGGGGCCGCCCTCCCCGTCAGGTGCTGGGCAGGGCGCCGTGTCCCGGGATCCTGTCCACCCATCGCCACAACGCTCAACAAGCTGCGTCTTGCCCACGCGGGGACTGCGTGTGCCCGTGCGGCACCCTGGGGGGGCTGGGCACCCTCCAGCGGGGCCGGCGCAGACACGCCGTGACCTCCGCCAGCAGCGTCGTCTGGCTTTGCATCTGCTGGCAGCACAGCGCCTGCTCCTCCCGGCGGGACCGGGGCCCAGACCCTGCCGGCTGCCCGCTGCCCCAGGCCCCTGGGTCTGTCTTGCCTCGCGTGGCTTGGGCTCCTCTACCACCTGTGTCCCTGCGGCCGCCCAGGGAGAGACCCTCGCTCCCAGCCCTGGGGGCAAACATCTGCTGCTGCTACAGGGCAGCCTTGGAGGAGGCTCCGTCTCCAGGACACGGCCTGGCCCTTCCCGCTGGGTGCCTGGAGCGCGTGCCGAGCTGGGAGGGGCTCTGCAGCCAGCTGCGGCCAGGCTGTGTGCAATGGGCCGACTGCTTTTCCTCACCGAAGATGCTTCCAGCAGCTCGGGCAGCGGGCACGCTCCCGGTGAGGAGCAGCAAGCTCTGGCGCGCAGGGCAGGGCCTGGTCTGCGGTGCTCTGAATGCAGGGGTCCTCCACGTGTCTCCCGGCTTCTGGGGGCCCCGGCTTGCATGCTACCCCCACAGGCACGGAGAGGGTAGCTGATGTGCCCACTGCCATGCAGAGCCAGGGTCTGGAAGAGCTCCCAGGCCTCCACGGTGGGGGACTCTCCCCTCCCCGTGACATGAGAGCCCGGCATCGGCATCAGCTGCAGGGCAGCTCATTCCCTGCCTGGGTGGGCTGTGACCTGCCTCGATGCCAGTTGTATCCCCGCATCCTTGCAGGCCGGCACCGTGCTGCCCCTGGATGCTGCGCCCAGGCTGCCCAGCACAGCCGCTCGCTGCACCGGGCCCCCTGCGGGCGGGTGACAGACACTCACGGGGTCCCTGGGTCAGACTTCCCCAGAGCGCTGCAGGGGCCCGGGGGCAGCTCCCACCGCCTGTCCTGGGCCAGGCCAGCCCAAGGCCCCTGTGGCCTTCGACCTGCCTGGGAGGGAAGGGCAATGCTCAACCAGGGGGAGCGACTGCAGCCAGGGGAGAGGAGCAGGGTGGCAGGCGCGGCAGAGGCAGCGGGAGGGGATGTGGCTCTGACCCACGGCACGGCCTGCGCTCCCCTTCCTGCCACCCCCCCAGTCCTGTCTCTTCTCCCCCCTGTTCCCACGTCCCAGCAGAGCTTCTTGTGGCCAGCAGCCCCGAGGCCGTGCTGGGGCCCAGAGGGCTCCTGCGTGGAGCAGGGCTGGGCACT